ACCTTGTAAAAATTGACAATAGCGAAAGTTTAATTTTATCCCGGAATTTTATATTACATAATTTCAGTTTAAAGACTGGAATTGGAATAGCTGAAATTTCTTCCGCGCGCAGTTTTCAATTCATACACAATACCCATAAGATTAACATCTCTTTTTAATGCCACTAGTTTCGAATCCAAAGCGCAGCTTCGTTATCATTTTAATTTGCTTTCTCTTTTACGTTTTGATGGCAAAGGGAGTTCACGTACAGTCGGGGACTGAACTAGTCCCCAACAGCGCCAAAGTCGAAGTTCTAGCCTTTTAGCCGAGACTATACTGAGCGCTACTATATTTGCTCACTTTGATTCAGGCCATTGTCTTCTGGAATTGAGTGGCATCTAGAACACGACATCTCCCCTTAAAGGAGATCTAAAAAGAAATCACAAAACGGTGATAATTCATGCGTTGTGCTTAATTATTTGTAGAGGAGAAAGCCCTGCCCTTGATTTGAGAAAGCTTGTATTGTGTGTTTTATATTGGTCAGCCTACACTGTCTACACTGCGTAAAAGAGTCTTCTTGCCCATGATCTAACTGTTTCAACCCAAGTTGATGTGCGCATTCAACGATATAGTGGCCCTTTAGCAAAAAAAAAAAAAAACTGACATACGTCCCTAATGAGGCGGGCCTCATTATATCGTGACTGTATGAAGCTTCGCACATTCACAATACAACAGCGTCACCTCCGTCTAAGCTTTAAGTAAGGAAGTCGTTTTAAGGCAGCATTGTTTTTAGGGAAGGAAGCTGTCTCGCAAACACGCTTTTTAATGCCTATCCATAAATTGATGGTACTCCAAGAGGCAAATTAAAGGAGTCAAAGTGGGGCACACTTTTTTTACTGTGTACAAAGTGGCGCTTTTTTCGAATGGGGAGAAAATATAAGAAAACCCCTCGTTGTTGACACGAAGTAGCATCTATGTGTTTCTTAGAAATCCCTTAGGCCACGTTTTGAAAACCGAATCTCCACTGCCTTCAATAAGAAAAACGTTTTGGCGCCCAGTAGCCTACAGACCAGGAGTTATTTTTTCTCGTTTTTCAGGCGAGCGACGGCAAGCGAAGTGCCCTTCCCCAGCGTAGCTAGTTGAGTTGCGCTCCACGCCCGCTTTGTGCTTTGTTCGTCCAAAAACGCGGAAAAAGAGCGCCTGTTTCGCAGGCTAGGCGCACAGGATATCGGTTAACTATACTGAGGATTCGATGCTTTCTTTCCAGATTGTCATGTAACCAGTTCAAATCACACTTGATGCATGAACATAAAACGTTGTTTAAACAATGAACATTGTATATTAAGCATAACGTGATCGTAAGGAAATGAATAAAATCAAGATGTACTTTCAGATGAAAAGTAACTTCTTTAGTAAAACCAGTCAGATAAAGATAATTTATGATGATGCTGGCTTGATGAAAATTCAGCTGATTAGTGTTTATAATCGCCCGTTCTTTTATTTTCAGATTGTTTTTTAAAAGCTTTTCTGGGAAGTCATGTAGTCGCTGTTAGTTTTGTATTTACTTTTAGCATGTTTCCTTTCAAATATTTGCCCTTCGTTTTTTTAAAAGTTACTTTTTCTATATGCAATTACGGGTAGCAAAGCATCGGGTACAGACGACTTTCTCAAAAATCTTCAGCTCTCGCTTTGAGCTGGACTTGAAGAGGGAAAGCGCCAGTTTACGGGTACCGTAAACCTCCGCATACTTATACCTAAACAAAATTACCTGTGAAGCGTGTGTTATGTCATGATTTACTTTTTCACTCATTATAAAACACATGAGCACTTATAATTATTTGCTAAGATCAGTAGTTTTGCGTCAAAGGCACTGACATGTGAGACGCCTGTTATTCAGTAATGACAGCTTGAAATATAGATAGGCCGTAGACATTTGAAATGGTGATATTTCATTGCACAGTAGAACCTCGATATAACGAACCTCCAGAAGTCCTCGGTATAAGGAACGATTTTCTTTGCCCAGCAGTAGTAAAATACAGTCGAGTCCCGATAATTCGAACCTTCAAGGGAAATAGACAAAAGTTCGAGTTATCGGCAGTTCGAGTTATCGAGGGTAAAATTGTATAGAAAATGTTCTGAAGGGAATGAAACATGATTGCTTCGAGTTAACGGGAGTTCGAGTTATGGAGGGTTCGAGTTACCGGGAGTCGACTGTATATGAAACAGAGCCTGGATATAACAAAGCTCGTTACAGCGAACATTATATCAAGTTTCACTGTAAAAAGGAAAGATGCAAACCGCTGACAAAATATCGCCGAAAAATTTCGGTCGAGTTAATCAACCCTCTTTAAGCTCCTTTTTCTTAAAGTTCAGACATATAAATTCTCTCGATATGGGAAAACTTTTTTTTCTTTGCTCAGTGAGTCACTTGTCACTAGCCGAATACTTGAAGCAAAACGTGACGTCTACATAAACGAACATAAAAAAATTAAAATGAATTATCTTAAATGCCGTGGTTTGTTTTATCAGCATAAACTCTTTTTGGATGATTGGGATCAACTAAATTGGTTAGGACGTCACAGTGAACATAGAATATGAATAGCCCAAAAACCAATTATTAAAAAATAATGTGCAGCTCAGACGTCTTAAAGTCAATATGTGAGCTCAGGTCAGGGGTACCCAAAGACTGTTTTCTGTAAAATGTCTGTTCAGAGAAGCAAATATTACCTAGAATTTTTTTGGGGGGGAGGGAGGAGGGGGGAGGGGGCTAAAAATTTCTAGATGAACGTTCCATTTATGTACAACCTTCGATTTTCTGATTAGAAGTTTAATTTTTCATACCTTACTACCTTATACCCCTTACTACACTATTTTACTTAGAAAAAGGAAACGTACCTCGATTTTGGGATTCTAAAATGCGATGGATGCATTTCTAGAGATCAGCATTGAAAACACTTTTTAGATCTCTCGAAATGCATTCTAAGTGGCGCTATAAAACTTGTATCTGTTCGGTCATCCTATATAGGGCATCTTGAGTCTTTTGGAAATTACAGAGCCGGCTTCAGTATTATTTTCCCGAAGATTTTAGATGCAATTTAAAATTTTACCAAGTAAGAATTTTTCTGATTGCTTTCCATCGCAGTTTTGAATCCGAAATTTTTAGGTTTCCTTTGTCTAGGCGAAAAATTTAACTCTAGAAAATCTTAGGGAATTTATGAGATAAGCTTCGAAAATAGTACATGAAAGGAACGGTCATCTAGAAATTTTTAGCCTTCCTTACCCTTTAGAAAATTCCAGCCAATTTTCGGTTCTTCGAACAGATATTTTACAAAAAAAAAAACAGTCGTTGGGTGCCCCTGAAAATTTTACACCTGTTAATTTTGCATAATGTGGCGTTTTGTAGGGTTTATATGGGAAAATAAGTAGTAGAAACAATTTCGCCTTATCTTAGCTTATCGTGTAGCAAAGAATTAAAATAAACTCACTTTTCCTTTTTATTTTGTGTTCCTGTGTCGTTTTGAAGCGTTTTGGGCTGGTTTTAGCTATCCTGCCTTAAAGCTTCAGAATCACAATGAGAGACCTCATTATGAAGGTCAAGACAGGATAGCAAAACCAAGCCAAAACGACGATATTTTTCTTAATTTTTTCCCTTTTAAACCCTATAAAACGCTATGTAACGCAATTCTGAGTATTTGCAGATGTAAAATTTTAAAACATGTGATCACATATTGAGTTTTTGATGCCTGTGCAGCGGTAGCAACAACCAACTAACCGGTTGAAACGGTCCGCGAATAGAACAAGATTAAAACGGTCGTAAATATTTTGGAAAAAATTGTGCAGGGTTTAGCGCTCCTTCTGGTTGTGAAGAAAAATAATAACTTACATTTCCAAAAGTTCTACGCACCCATCCCCCCGCCTCCCCCTATTACCCTTCACATTTCTAGTGGTGCATCCCAAAGCTGTCACCAAGTCTAAAAACGAAAGAACGGTGTCTGTCATATGACTCAAGAGGATACCGACGAATCAGACTCTCTCAATGAATATCTTCTGTAACCAAATTGAGCCAGGATAAAGCGACCACAAAGTCGTTTGCTGGGATATTAAATTATCCAGAAACGCGGCAATATATAGTTTCAGTAAATAAATAAAAATCTTTTAATTCAACCGAAAAAACGCGCAACAAAATTGGCTAAGGGTAAACCATGAGTTTATTGCATCTGTTCTTAGTATACAAGAATTTTTTTTCCATTCGTCGATCGAATCGAGTTACAATCATCCTGCTACTTCAAATATATCTCGAGCAGTATTTTAACCCCTTAATCTCATGGTAAGATGACTATCGGCATATAATTAGTGGCCACAACAGCGTCGGCGGCGGCGGCGGCGGCGGCGGCGGCAGCAGCCGGAGGAGCTTACTGTGGGGTTAGCTTCGCGTTTGATCACGCCTTTTGCAGCTCCTATCACTGCGCCTGTCGCTGTACCTGCTTCTGCGCCTACAGGTCCACCCGCTGCTGCGCCCGCTATCGCACCTTTCTTTGCGCCTTTCACATCGACTGTCGCAGTGACTCTAATGCCGAATATTGATACCGATTTACTTAGTTTGGATTTCTTGTCTCGAGGATGACGTTTGTTTCGTTGATCACTGTCGTTTCCTTTGAAAACAACCTCCAGTCCAACTTTGCACTTATCCATATCGTCCAGATGCCAATATTGCAGTTCTGTTTTTAACCGATTAGCAACTTCATTTCCAAAAACACCTGAGAATTAATCGCCGAGAAAATTGTTAGTACTAATCATTACTATTTTAACTACTGACTAAGTCTTTCAAGATATGTGGCCTACTCTATATTTCTCTGCATGTAAATTTCGGCCGCAGGCGCCAAGGCAACGTAAGAAAGACGAGTGCTGATCGCAACGAAAGTAATAAGTTCTTGCTAGGTTTAGGTTTTTGTTTCTGTCTTTCTCACCTGTAGTAGTCGCCTCTATATTTGCATTGATGGTAGAGCTGACAGTTTTTTTTTTTACTGAAAGAAGATGTCGATAGTTATACATTGGGTAACAGTCACTTTACCGGGGATCAATGTTTCCAATTCTTCCTTGATCTCCGGAATCCTTGAGCAGTTTTCAAATTTGTAATAGAAGTACGATTCCTTAGAAAAAGAACAAAAAATAAAAAATCAACACGTGAACCGCAGATATGGAATTAAACCGCCACCTCGGCAATATAAGAAAAGCCCGAAAAATAGAGGAATTAAACTACGAAAGGCGTTTGAAAGGTACAGGTAATCCACTGAGTTCCAAAAGGGATAATAGCAGTGCTTGCCTTGAAATAGGATGTACTTCCAGGACTCTTAACTGTCTGGTAAGAAACTTCCTTTTTAAAACCGCGCCCTGTAAGGTTCGCCTTCTTTAGTACTTTGAGGACATCAGATTTGGATAGTATTGCAGTAGTGTTGCGATTGAAAATCCGTAGTTCAATGTCCTCTTCCGTATCAGCCTCTGCAAGTGAATCGAACAAACGTTTCACAAACAGTTGTGATGATGTCAATTGTTCCAACCCTGATACTTGAAAAGGAACCCTTCAGTTTCACTGAGGCAGTTATTCACTATAGACTAGTGAAATAAATTCTAAAATAAATTTTGTTCAAAAGAGAAGGGGACATACCGACAGCCGTGGAAAAGAGAAACAGGGCCAGAATCACTGAAATTAGCTCTGAAAGCATCATTTTCGCTCAGCTCAAAGAACGGTGGACTTCACCGAGCCAACAGAAAAGAGCTTTGAACCAAAAACAAAAAGGTTGATAGAAACTTGGAGTTAACTATTATTTATACACAAAAATGATGCTATGTAAACACTAAGATATCATTTGACTGAGGTCATTGCAGTCAGTTAGTGAACATGCAAATCTAGCAAGGAAAAGCGAAAGACGAAAAACCAGAGACTAGACATTTCTTTCATGTTTGCTTTACCATCCCATTCTATCTATAACTGTGTATACAGTTGCTTTCCGCGCAGTAAACGTAACCTTCGCACTCCATCTGTCTTTAATATAGGAATAAAATAGTTCCTAATGCATATGCATAAAAATGTAAATATTAAATGATAAAATACAAAGATATTACGGTCAAATGTCGCGACCAAGTAGAAAAAGGAAAAGAACACAATGAATTTACCTTGTTAAAATGTTTGATTTCATCTTATTGCTGGGTAGACAGACTTTTTGCCATCTGAAGTTGGAATAGTTTACATTTTCCGTGCCATTTTAAGTACAGGTACATCCGCAATATGTAACTATAAGATCAACCGTTGGTTTCGCGTCCAAAAAACATTTTAAAACCCCCTAGCATTATCATTATTTTTATTTATTTTTTAAATACTTGGAATGCGCTGTATTTTTAACGATTACTCTTTCTTTGCGGTACATTTAGATGGCAAGATGATTGAGTACAGTCGACTAAGCTAGTCTGGCTTCTACAGCGCCAAAACCGGCCGGAGTTCTGACCTTGTTGATGATTAGTCACCCACTATATGTTTGTTCACTTGGGCAGGCCTTTGTGCCATTGGAGCTTACTTTACAGCTTGCATTCTAGTTCTGCAACGTGAGTGGCGACTAGAACACGCGATCTCGGAGGAGATAAGGAAAGAAACCAAGAAAACTGTAATTCACGCGTTGAGTTGTTTTTCCCTGTAATGTTAAATTTGTCACCGAGGAGAATGGACCTATTTTTCATGTATGGAGACGAAAGCTGTGCGCTAGCTAGATCGATAAGAAGCGGAAGGTATCTCGGCATTCCGAAAGACATCGTGTGCATTTGTTTGTTTCTCTCGCGCGTGATTTAACTGTTTCCACCAAGTTGTTGTGTCCAACAATGCTTAATACCTCTTCTCGGTTGAACGGCAGCGAAACGTTGTTATTTATTTATATATGTGACCGTGCACGGGAAAACGTACCTTAACGCTTATCCGTTAGACAAGCAAAAACGTTAAGCATCCGTTAGTCATCCGTTAGAAAGTTTTCTTAAGAACGTTAGAGGCGTTAGCCCAGCCGTTAGACCTTAGCATGAGGCCGTTAGAACGGACAGTGTAACCGTTAGCAAGAGACATGTATCCGTTAGCCGTTAGCATCAGACCGTTAGACGGGTCAGCATAACCGTTAGCAAAAACTCTGCATCCGTTAGTACGGCTAGAGAAGCCGTTAGGATCCGTTAGAATAAACTAGCATCCGTTCAACGGCCTTCATACTATAATTATTATACACGATCCAAAACAAACCACGTTTGCCGAAAAGTAAAATCATAACAACGATCGACATTATATGAACTGTTTATTTATTCGGCAAAGTCCGGTTGTTTTGAGAGCTTGTATTTTGTACTGTAACTTCTGACGAAAGGAAAGTTAAAAATATCTTATAAATGCCATAAAAGGATAAAACAAACACGGGGAAAGCTCGACCAAAATGGCCATTGCGATGAATAAAAGGTCTGCGAAGTAAACACTGATCACAAGTCATGTCAAGAACTTGTGCTCGTGTTTCGTCACGCAACAATGGTTGTCAAAATGCTAATTTGTGGCGATTGCTACGACCTGCGAGGTGGGATCCCAAATGATCAATAACCTTCTTCCGTTTCCTTTAATCGCTATTTGCAATCATTAAAATAATTAAGTGGTCTTTGTCGTTCGAACTGAAGTAGAATAATATTATTTGGTTTCAATTCACAAAGTGCGGGTTCAAAAATTTGCATAAAGTTGTTTACATTTTCCAAGATGTGAGAAACGGCCACATTCCGGCGGAAAGGTTGATGAATATTTTGATAGACTTTTGTCTAACTCTGAATCAGACGAAACTAATTTTAAACTACATGCATGTGACGAAAACAACTTTATCTGGTGAAACCAGCGCCAACACGTCGTCGCTTCGAGACTCGTGACTTCAAAAGGCAGCGCTTTTCGCATGCTCGGTCAAGATAGAAAGCGTAATCTTTCGCGAATCCACGGCTGGCCCGGGTAAAACAGTTACTTTAGAAAAACTCTTGACAGAGTCATGGTGTAAAAAATAAGTACAAGCGACAAATCCATTTGAGTAAAACAAGAAAAAATGTTCACCACGACTGGCGATTAAAATTGTTTACACACAGGTTTAGCGACGTTAGGTTTGCTTCTCACACGATAATAAAGGACTCGAATTCTGAGTTTCTCCGTCTCGATGAGAAAGTGAAAGTTTATATCCCTGAGTTTTGCTCTCGATTAATGCTCACCGTGGAAATAATTTTTTTAATGCTTGTCTCATCGACGACTGATGAAATCGGCACTTTGTGACTTGTTTTTTTTTAAATCGCGAGTGTAAGACTAGTAATGGTTTTGCACGATCATGTGTTTATAACATCGGACTGAAAGTAACTGTTACGCTATTCGTTTGTTAAAAGTCCTTAGATGTAAACCGTTAGACAAACGTTAAAAGTCCCTAGATGTAGAGCGTTAGACAACCGTTAAACGGCTCCAGTCACCGTTAGAACAAACTGCGTAACCGTTAGAACGTTTTCTTCATCCGTTAGACATACTTAGTTGGCCGTTAGACCGTTAGGAGAAAGCGTTAGAAGGTTTTGATCATCCGTTAGGCACAACTAGATAACCGTTAGAACGTTAGGACAAAACGTTCGAATGCTGTGAAGGCCGTTAACAATCCGTTAGCTATCCGTCCGTTAGAGAGCATTTAACGGATAAGCGTTAAGGTACGTTTTCCCGTGCACGGTCACATATATCGACGATATCAGCTGGAAATCGAGCAGCTTCGTTCAAAACAATAGCGCGTCACCTTCATCTAATCTTCAGGGTTGGATCATTTTGTAAGTAACGAAAACGTCTTTATGAAGCATGGAGACGTTAAAATATTGAAGTGAAACTAGTAGAGACCGTCTACACTACGTCAAGTGCTTCGAGCCTTGCGAGTTTCCGATTTGGTAAGTCAAACACACTGTCCGAACTTCATGAAGCGAAGTGTCATATACAAAAAACGGACAAAAAAATAACCCTCGATAGGAAGGATTTTGCGGGCGGAGGATCATGGTTCAGATTGCCGAGCCGTGGATGTTTCGATTTTCAATTGATTTGCTTTAATTAATTTGGATATTGAACTCTAGGGCGACTCATGCAGCGAGGATTTTTGCTTAATTTTCAACGGAGACCACACGTTTACGGCTTGTTTTAGAGACTACGTGACTTACATGAAATCAAAACCGAAAAAGGGGTACCCAACAACGGTTTCCTCCTACACATTGAAACAGTTTTTAAGGCTATCCAGAGTTCTTTTGTAACTAGCAATTGTCACTAAAATACACGTGTAGCTCTTTCTACGTAATTCACTGAGTTAGATGAAAAACGAGGAATGCGGGAAAATGTGGATAGTCGAGGAGCGTGTGTACCCGGAAAATGATTTAAAATTAGAATAATAATAATAATGATAATAAATAGGTAATACAGCTGATCACTGGACGTTCGTATTAAGATTTCTTTTATTCAGTTTTATTTCCATAAGACCTTTATGGAAAATGATAAAATCGCTGTCAGTTTGTTCTTTACCTGAATACCGCGGCCTTTTACGTTTTTAGAGAACGGAATCTGTCTCACAAGCGCGCTTTTCAGTACTTTATTTTTCCAAAAATTAATTAAATAAAGAAAGTGCGAGGAGTTCCAAGAAGCTTAGTGTCAACGTCGGGCACAATTTGACTATGCACGAACTAACGCTATTACAAATGGGGAAAATCATGCTGATTTTACACCGCGTGCATCACGGTTTTAGACATCAAGCGCCATGTACGAAAATTCCTTGGGCCACGTTTTGACGGTCGATTCTTCAATAAGAAGAATTTGGTGGCTTACAGGATTCGATGCTTTCTTGCGATATTATCATGCAACCAGCTCAAATTAATGATAATATTATCATATTGTACTATATCTTGACGTTGTATTGACTGAAACATCAGGACAAAATCTCGACTTTTTGGAGTACATAACAGTAAAGAAAAGATTCAATGGTTCTTCAGATGATGAAGATTTGATACTTGTTCATATTTTACACCGACACACAAGTAAAATATTCGCCATAATAGTGTACGTGATGCCCGGGACGTGATGTTGAAGAAAAGGGTCATGCACTCCCGAGTGATGTGTTTGGACACTTGGAGTATGAACAACTCCTCTTGTAGTTTACATTCGGTTAATCAGTGAACAGAGGGCATTGTTTGAACATTAAACATTGTTTGATCAGAACGTGATCATAAGGGAATGAATAATTAAGATGTACTTTCAGATGTAAAGTAACTCGTTCTAAAACAGCCGCAACAAAGGCCAAAGATGACTTTATAAAAGTGCACCCTTAGCTTCCACTATTAAACTGCAAGTTTTGGTTTGATAGTCATCTACAGCTGGCTTGATAATAATTCAGCTGAACAGTAGACTTCTATTTTCATATCACTGAAGGCTTTTATAGATGTTTATTATTGCAATCCACTGAAATAGTCGCTGTCAGTGAAGTTTGATCTTTTATTGACATAGTTAGCGGAAAATCTCATTTCGGAGCACGCTTTTCGATGCTTCATTTTGTACTGTTGAAAGCCAACATTTGAAGGTTAAGGAAGAGCTACAGCAAGAAATTAAGTTGGAGTTTTACGATGTAACGACCCTGATTTTTAATATTCAATTAACTAAGAATTATCATGAGATACAACTTCCGGTTACAATAAACTCCATAAGCCACTTTTTAACATTTTTTTTATAATGCAGAATTCGGTGGCACACAAAGGATCGATTCAGGCTATAAGGATGTTTTGTTTTTTTGCCAAATTATTATCATTTAACCAGCACAACTAAGAGTTGTTCGTTTCCTCAAACGTGATAATGGCATTATTCCCTTGCCGTTTCTCAGGGTGAGAAGGAAATGGGTAGTTCAAGGTTTGGCTAATGGACATACGCGAAAAACAAATGGCCGCTTAATAACATCCAAATAACAGGAAAATATGCTCTCAGTGTTGTGAAAATTTCATTTTCAACACTTTCATTTTCAGCGCTTTTTTTGGTTCAAATTAGTGTGTTAAGTCAAAAAACGAAAATCTAAAATGATACCAATTTGGCCAACTATACAAGTATCTGTTACCTGAAAATCAGCTTATTTTGCAAAAAAAAACGGTGAAAAAAATATCATAGGGATCGTTTTTTAAGGAAAAGTATGGTTCCGGGTGTGCACGTACATTTCTTTGAAGTGCTATTTTTCGGGCTTTACGTGTCGTAGCGAGAAACGGTTTCCGCTGTTTTACTCCCCTTCTAAAGCTCTTTCAGATGATATACGTTGACTTTGAAATTGAAATGCATTTAACCCATTTTGGTGACGTCAGCCGTTGTGACGTTACAATTTGACAATTCGTGTCAAACAAAAACTTGAAATTAATTGGTCAACAATCGAAATCTATTTGGCAAGTTTGGTCAAGAAATGAAAAGAAATGTAAAAGATACGTGAATTTAGCCTTAATGATACATTTGAGGGGTGGTTTGGCCCCACTGTGGGCGCACAGAAACGAGGCACTATGTACATTCAGTAACTGAACGAAAAAAACTTGCAACAAGATAAGGAAAACCATGAGTTTAATTCAGCTTTTGCTTATACCTTACAAAACATTTCATTCTAGTTTCTGGATCGGATTACAATCGGTCCACTACTTTGAAATATACCCGCACAACTTTTGAAACCCGCTGAACTCACGGTGAGCTGATTATTAGCAACTGAACCTAGCGGCGGCGCCACCAGCCACCGCCGCCACCGCTGCTACTGCTGCTGCTGCTGCTGCCGCCGCTGCTGCTGCTGCTACTGCTACCGCTGCTGCCACTGCTGCTGCTGCTCCCGCCGGTGCTTTTTTTGCCGCCTTTGCTGCCGCCGGTGCTTTTTTTGCCGCTTTTGCTGCCGCCGTTGCCCACCGTTACAGTGCCCTCAGCTTCAATCTTACCGCCTATTTTGACGCTCCAGCCATCATTATCTTTTTTGATCTCAACACTTGCTTCTCCTTTGACTGACCCAGTGGCTTTCACTGGAGACTTCTGCCCTTTGAATGTTTTGGTTTTGGTTTTGGTCTTGGTTTTGGTTTTGGTTTTGGTTTTGGTCTTCTTAGAAAAAAGCCAACGCTTACTGAGCTGGTGGGCCTGGTCTTGTTTTGTGAAATCAATCTCCAGTCCCACTTTACACCTGTCAAAATGCTTGTTTTTCACTTCTTCTCTCAGTCCTCGGGCCACACTAGGGTCAAAAACACCTAAGAATTGACCGAAAAGTAACGTAAATTAGCAAGTGATATCGTCTCTATTGCATTTTCTCTTTTATTATTGATTTTTGTCCAATCGCAACTTTGAGCTACAGGTGTGCCGCAGAGGAACGAAACGAGATTTTAGAAAGCAGGGGCTGATGTAATCTCTAGTTGTTGTTTGAATTACATCGGCATTAAAGCAAGTGCGAATAGTGCGTGTGCGAGGCGAGAATAACGAGCACTGAAACCAATTCCGAAGAAGTCTAATAAGTAGTTCCTGCCGGTCCCTTTCAATCTAAGTATTATATTCACTTTTCCATATAGCCTGTACAGAGACGTTGATTTATTTTTCTTTTCGATAATTGGCGAGCGCGCGAGGTAAAAGTCAATGTTCTTCTTCTCCCATCCTTATACTCCCTTGCACTAGTGGTCATTTAATTCCCCGCTGTTGTTATTTTTATCACGCGCCCTCGGCAGACGTTTAGGCTAGTTTCCCTATAGATCGAAGGTTAATTGCGACGGGAATTTTTCACTGTAAGAGAAAAGCGCTTAGGTACAGTATATTAAAGTTGTGACTTGAATAATCAACGCGGAAGGCTGCTTTCCAAGATAAAAGTTAGTTTACCTGGTCGGATCCGTCTATTTAATTCTCTTCCAATCTTCAGAATCTTCACACGCCCTCGGCAGTTCACCTCTTTGAAAAAGTAGTGCGATTCCTACGAAAAAGAAAAAATAGCCACTTTAGAACAAGCTGCAGTTTAAAAATAACACGTGTCCGACGAAAAGAAATAATGGAAGAAAGCGAAGCTCAGTAGTGAAAAAAGCTTCAAAAGGAAAAGTGGTTAAACGCGATATAATTCTTGAGCGAGGCATTGAAGTAGTTTTTTTCATGGAACTGAGCTAAAATCGCCGTGCTTACCTTAAAATAGAATTTGTTACTTCCGGGACCATTCACTGTCTGGTAGGAAACTTCCTCTTTGTAGCCGTGGTTCGTAAGGTTTGCTTTCTTTAGTACTTTGAGAACTTCCGACCTGGAGAGTTTAGTTTCTTGTTTGACAGACTTTACTGCAAAGTCTTCTTCAGCAGTTTTGGCCTCTGCAGATGAATGGAAGAAATAGTCACAAATAATTTCTTATTTAATAAGGTGGTACGGATTTACACTGATAAATAGAGAAACTGACAGAAATTTCACCACACCATCCTCGCAGATTTATGGTAATAAATAGCATTATAAAGACGTACCGGCAGCCGTAGAAATTAAAAACAGTACAAAAAATACTGCCACCGAGAACTCTGAAACCTTCATTTTCGCCTCTGGTAAGTTCAGGCGAAACAGCTGGCGATGTTGAAGATGAATTCGTTTGCGTAAGACAATATCCCTTTGAATCAAAGGTAAGTTCGTTAAGAGAGATAAATTAACTTACGCTTATTTATACCCATGAGGGTATAAATAAGGCTAGTAATTGTAATGTTGAGACTATTTGGTTAACATGAAAAACTTCTCGAAACCCAGCATATGCAAGACATTACTTCCTGTAATTTTTGGAGGGGGGAGGGTGGGTGGGGGCATTTATTGCTTATAACGAAATGATATTTACCTTTGACTTACTTTCATATGACTCTGTCAAAAGAGTCGGCTATATTCGTCGACTTTTTCTGGCTAAGTTTTTGCTTCTTTTTGAAAACACTGTGCGGTTCGGGAAATGTATCAAAACGCTGGAGAATCTAAACGAAAAAGTCGCAAGGTTCCAGGTTATTATCCAGTCTGACATGGTTCAGTAAAGCAGCAAAATCTCTGTTATTTTTTCACTTTTGAAAAAAATTCTATATATGTTTCTCTAATTTACTCGCGATAACTGTTCTAATAGTCTTATTACATAAAATATACTAGCTTACAGTGTTTAAATGCTCCCGCCAGATCAGTTTGGGTGTTTAATACCAAAGAATTCTGCTTAACTCTCAATATAAATGACCGTTTTACATCATCGGCCACATTTGCCATGGCACCTAGCGCACATATTAAGTATTTCTATTCATTATACAGCGGTGGTTTGCTAGAAAGTTAAGCTGCTCTTGCCACCGTACACTTCTATTCAGATCAAGCCATTAATTTCCTTTTTTTTCTCTTATTTGTTATTTTATTCCTACGTGTACAATGTAAATATTATATACAAGTGTGAATAAACTGAACTGAACTGGTGAACAAAACTGACAGTTGTAGCGCGATTTTTGAAGTTTTAACAGACTTATTCTCAAGTCAGCGCTCAGTAATATTACAGTTCCAGTATTGCGACTGGAATAATTGAAACTCTCCTTAGCATACAGAATAGTGACTACTCGTATTTCTTTTAATATAAATTACGATATCAGCGATACGTGAAATTAACAGTGCACAAAGAACTGTACAGACTGATATTTTGACTTCACGTATTTCTCTTGCAGTCTTTACACTAACGGAAATATGATTAGCCAGACTGTTTTGCCACTTTTTTATTGCCGTATAAAACTGTTCCAAGGTGTTCGTAAAAAGAAATATTCGCCATATTATCGAGTTCCTATAAAAGTAAATCATATCTATGTAATTATTACACTCAATCATGATAATTAGTTAAAACAGTTAGACAACGTGAAAATTTCCTGTTTACTTTTTCCTTTAGAATGTTAAACCTTTCCCCCTGATTCTCAAGAAAGCGTACTAAATAAAATATAAAGAACAAAAACCCATTTCAGTTTATTAAAAACTGAAAAAAAAAGTAGCATGCGATAGTACTATAGCGGCTAAAGAGTTATTTGCCGAGTAAAACTGCAGCAAACTGGAGCAAATCTTAATTTGTATCTTCAGACGCGTATAGAGGGAAATATACTGTCTGTCGGCTTAGTTAACCCCAATCACTAATTAAGGGCGATCCGGGAATGTCTAGCTAATCAGGCCTCAATTTATTTTTCCGATAATCCGTTCAATTAAAAGCAACGTCCGAAAAGGCCCCAGCAAGAAGCCGGACCACTCTCGTAAGCGAACAACTCTAGTTACGACCACCTCTGTGAAACCCCGTTTGAAACTAATGATAGAATGAAAAGCTCCCGTAGTTACGACCACTTTTACGAGAGCTTACGAGAGCCTCGACTGTGACTATTTCTTTCTGCCCTTGCTTCAAAATGAGTAGACTGTCCGTAACGTACTTGTAGTGAAAAATCAACTGGAAATGAATCATGACCAGACTCTACTGAAAAGAATAACTCGCGAGGTCTTATTTTTTTTATCGCTGCCTGCTGACGTTTTTTGATCAGTTAAGTCTCTGTCTTTTTTCCCTGTAGTAAGAAATTCTACATGTTTGTTCGAATTTTTCACAATTTCATAGAGTTTTATTTAAATTTGAGGGATGATTTGGGAACAGAACGTTGTACGTTTACCTCGATTTTGGATTCTTGGATAGGCTTTCTCACAACTGATAACTACTAAGGGACTGGTTTCTGAAGAATCCTTGATGTTGTGTCGGTGGGGGAGCGAAGCAAAAATTTGGTTTTACATCAACTGAGTTGGTAAAATAAGTTAGCTACTGTGGAAGGATTATAAACATAAAAACAGAAACGCCGGTCCTTCGTCAATCAAGGGGTTTTGTGGTTGTGTATACTTTTAAGAGAAGAATATATTTTAGAATGATAATGATTTGTGACTTGTTCTGGGGATTACTTGTACCACTTACCGTAACAATTACAACGCGAATGAATCAATCCAAGGTGACATTCTCTCGTGGCTGTAGCGGCGTCGGGGAACACATTTAGTGAAAACCCGCCGCAACTGAGTCGAGAATTTTATCTCCAACCCGAATTCACGAGAGACTCATTTGCAATTGTTTATCGAAGTATAAGTGTCATAAGAGCTTACATCTTCATTGAAATTGACATTGAGGTAAATCCACAACAGTTAGGGTCTATCAACAATCACAGAGCAGTTCTACGATTAGAAAAGGCTAGGACAGTTCTCCTCCCCAGAAAGTAAAGAAGTAACTAGAAAAAAAGAAAACTTAAAAAAAATCCTCCAGATAAATAAAGTTAATTTCATTCAAAACAAAGCGCAGTCTTCCAAGTCAAATTGCAAAATTTTATTTCCTTGTACTCATCTGTTTTACATGCGAAACATAACTATCTTTATCGGCCCATATATAGCCGCCCCGAGACATAACAATGCTTTAATTAGGTGCTTGAGTAATCGAAGAACCGCACGAAGAATCAAAGGAAAACACTACACGAAAGAAGCAATTGTCACTAAAATACACGTGTCACTCTTTCTACGTTCAGTCCATGAAAGACGAGGAATACGTAAAAATGTGGATTGTAGACGAGGAGTGTGGACAATGCGCGGAGTGTGCACGCGGAAAATGATTTAAATTTAAATAATAATAATAATAATAAATAAGTTTTACAGCTGATCACTGGATGTTCGTATTAAGAATTCTTTTATTTCCATAAGGCCTTTATGGAAAATGATATAATCGCTGTCAATTTGTTCTTTACCTGAACACAGCAGCCTTTTACGTTTTTAGAGAAGGGAATCTGTCTCTCGAGGGCGCTTTTCAATCCTTTATTTTGTGCCCCTGAAAGCGACATGCCACGTGACTGTTAAAACTATTAAATAGAGAAAGTGCGTGGAGTTCCATGAAACAAACTGGTCAAAGTCGGGCACAATTTTTACCATGCACCAACTAACGCTATTGCAAAGGGGAAAAATCATGCTGATTTTACACCGCGTGCATCAGTTTTAGACATCAAGCACCATCGGTACGTGTCTTCCAGAAAACTGGCCTTGTGCCACGTTTTGACGTAAGATGCCTCAATAAGAAAACTGTCGCCTTACAACAGGAGTCAGCTTTCTTGCCATATTATCATGCAACCAGCCCAAACTGATGATAATATCATCATTAATATACTATATCTTGACGTTGTATTGACTGAAACATCAGGACAAAATCTCGATTTTTTGGAGAACATAATTTTAATTTTAAAAGAAAAGACTCAGAATGGTTTTTCCGAGGATGAAAATTTGATATTTGTTCATATTTTACACCGACACACAAGTAAAATATTCGCCACAATAGTGTACGTGATGTTGAAGAAAAAGGTCATGCACTCCCGAGTGATGTGTTTGGACACTTGGTGTATGAACAACTCCTCTTTTAGTTTACATTCAGTTAATCAGTGAACAGAAGGCATTGTTTGAACATTGAACGTTGTTTAATCAGAACGTGATCATAAGGGAATGAATAATTAAGATGTACTTTCAGATGTAAAGTAACTCGTTCTAAAACAGACGCAACAAAGGCCAAAGATAAAAGTGCACCCTTAGCTTCCACTATTAAACTGCAAGTTTTGGTTTGATAGTCATCTACAGCTGGCTTGATAATAATTCAGCTGACCAGTAGACTTCTATTTTCATATCACTCAAGGCTTTTATGGATGTTTATTATTGCAATCCACTGAAATAGTCGCTGTCAGTCTTTTATTGACATAGTTAGCGGAAAATCTCATTTCGGAGCACGCTTTTCGATGCTTCATTTTGTACTGCTGAAAGCCAACATTAAGTTGGAGTTTTACGATGTAACGACCCTGATTTTTAATATTTACGATTAACTAAGAATTATCATGTAATACAACTTCCGGTTACAATAAACTCCATAAGCCACTTTTTAACATTTTTTTTATAATGCAGAATTCGGTG